ATTCGCTTTTTACTCTCTATCTACGTCCTTTCTGCGCGGCTGTCCGCCTCTATATATATACATACATACATATGTATATATATATATATATATATATATATATATATATATATATGTATGTATATATATATATATGTATGTATGTATATATATATGTATGTATGTATATATACTATACGCGAGTAGAAATGCGTGCGCACGCATGTCCTGCATTTTTGTAATAACCCAGGGGTCGCGCAAGAATCCAAGATGGCGCGTCCTCGTTTGTCCGCTCCTTTTATTTACCCTTGGCTTCTCTCGCCCCCTCCTCGGCACACGCTCTTTTTCTCCTGGAGCTGAGGAACACACCGCGGAATTTCGCTTTTAATGGGGGATTCGTTCTCGCTCGCGCGCCGCAGAAGGAGAGATAAAGCAAGAGCTGACGACGGGACGTTAAAGAGTCCGAGGAGGCCCACGGGAAAACAGGGGTGGAGGTGGCTGTGGGTCGGGACAGGGGGAGCATGCGGGGATGTACGTGTGCGCGCGCGTTAAGATAGCCATCGCCGTATGCCGCGCGCCGCTGTTCTCGGCTAATGTCCAAGGAGTTCGCCTTATTCCCGACGTCGTCGGGCTTCCATAAGCGATTGCCCTCGATTAAGGCCGCGGGAGTCACCACTACTTTCACATTCAGCGCCTACTTCAACGACGTAACGGACTCGCTCTTCGTATCTCCTTTTCACCAGTGCGTCTTTCCTTTCCATTCATCCGGTGAATAATTGCGTAAGGAGCCCGACTATATCGCAATCGGCTATACATACATAGAGATGCACTCTCACACTTTCACACTCTCACTCTTCCTCTTACTCTTACTCTCATTCTCTTTTGACGAAAGAAATATCTTTCATCACAATTATAATTGAATTTATTTTGATTTGTCCAGGGCGAAGCTAATGTGATCATGAGCTTGATTCCTGTAATTTAAATCTTCATTCATCGGAGTTTATTCGCGCGAATGCCATCTTTAAAATACATAATAAACCCGCAACGAATGCCACCTCAATCACAATTTAGCTTCGAGGATATATATATATATATATATATATATATCTATTTCACTTTTTTCTTTATCTTTTTTCTTTCTTGCTTTAAAGTAATTCAGTATTGAAATGACGGTCGCATGGTGCAATACAATTTCTCCTCGTCATTATCTCGATCTATGAGAGTGTGACGAACGAGGCTGCTTGTTCTCGGTAATTCTATTATCGGTAAACTTAGATTGTATAAGAATTTGCGAAATATTTATTTATGGTGGTAGTATTGAGTAGAAAAATGGGCAAGTGCTCGAATGGCTATGTAGGTGATCATCCGTTCAGCCGAGCGTCCACGCGCTGAATCGTCAATACGCGTTTAACTCCCACTGCCGGTTTACACTTGTCTTTCCGGCAATTACGCCTTCGCGAAATCCCCGACCCGCCTCCGCGCCTAACGAAGATGCGATCCGACGCGCTCTTGAATTAACGAGTTGCGTCGACGCGATTCTTGCTTTTTTTTTTTTGTTTTTTTTTGTTTTGTTTTTCAAGAGCGACGTTCCGACATAATGTATTACGCCGGCGAATGATGCGCGTATGTTCGCTCACTCAAGATCACGATGGCGGAGAGTTGGGCATGTGAATTGGAAATGCACGAGACAATGGGAGACTGCGGGGAACGACCTCAGACGTTAGATATGATGTAATTAAGGTGATTCCCGTGGAACAGACGCGTCGAGTCGGTTTCACTTCTGTTCGCTTAATTGGTTTGGCATCTTGTGAACTTTCGGGTAATGAATGAAATCACTGCGCTCTTCTCTATTTAAGAATAACGAGCTATTTTGAAAGGTTTTCGGAGGATTTCTCGGAAGTCGGGCAATCGATAGCGAATTTTTGCGCTTCAAGCGAGTTTAACCGATATCGTTGTCTCGATTCATCGTACACGTTTTACTCGAGGCTATTAGTATTTATATGCTATTTTTATGGCAAAAATAAGTGATTATTATTAATCGACTAGCAATTTCGTTAAATTTATTATTCTCGGCGTAACTTACTCGATAAACCATAAGCATTGCGATGGTAGGGACGAAAGGGCTGGTGGATGGCGACTGTCTCTGTGGGTGAACGCGCGCGCGCGCGCGCGTGCGTGTGTGTGTGTGAGCGAATGAGGGAGAGAGAGAGAGAGAGAGTGTGTGAGAGAGAGAGAGAGAGAGAGAGAGAGATGGAGGGTGAGGGAGAGACAGAGACTAAATACACTAAATACCGCGATTTCCAGATCAGTGAGTATAAAGGCGGCGTTAATGTTAAGGCACTTGTAGTACAGTAATATCAGCCATTAGGATTTGCGCTTTGGTCGCTCGAAAGTAACTCTCATTAAGTCATCAAAACCGAAGCGAGATAAAAAAGAAAGAAAGAACGGGCAGAGCGGCACTCAAACGAATATTGACCAGCGCAGTGGGACTCGCGGCGTTTTAACGCCCGAAGACAAAAGCTGGTGCGCGCATACGTGTAGCGGAGATTCCACCCCACCCCCCTCCCCACCCCTCCCCACCTCACCCATCCACCACGCTCTTCGAAAAAAGTAAAGCTTCTAAATAGTTTTCTCACCGCTAGTTAAAACACAATAAAACGTCCTTTTAAAAGGCGTACTTTTTCGCTGATCCCTCAATCTTGCAGAGTCAAAGGTGAAAAAAGGTCTATTTGCAGTAGGTCGTTATGTTTTTCATTGGGAGGATGACGAGCGGCGCGCAGCCAGTCGACGACCACCAACGGAAGGAGCGCGTCTTTATTGATGGATTTCTTCTTTGCCGGGTACGAAGAAAGAAGAACCACCGAGTAAGCCGGCTGGACCCGAGGGTATGGGAAAAGAAGAATAAAGATTGTCGAAGGAGGAGGAGAAGGTGGACGAAGAGGCAGCCTCGAAGCTACCGAGCCCGTAAATTTTTCCTTGCGAAATTGGACACGGACTCGTGTATCCTCGGTTCTCCTGATGCCTCTCGCACCTCGGGCTTCTACCTCTCTCTATCTCTCTCTCTCTCTCTCTCTCTCTCTCTCACTCACTCACTCGCTCACTCGCTCACTCGCTCACTTCACTCACTCACTCACTCTATCTCTCTATCTCTCTATCTCT